GAATAAGGGAAAATGTAACCTGCAATTACATCCTACAATTATTTTATCTGTTTCCCCATTTAGCAGTAAATATCGTAACAGTACTTTGAGACAGCGCACAGTATCAACTGTATTTCACTTATCTGCAGCCTCCTCATAAACATTTGATATTTATTTATTTAACCGCTTTAACACAGGGCATAACACTGTTTATGTTTGAGATAGCTTGGTGTAGTGGTAAAGGTGCTGGCCTAGAAACGAAGAGACTATGAGTTCTAGGCCTCCCATAAGCATGAAAGCTGGCTGGCTGACTTTTGGCCAGCCTCTCTCTCAGCCCAACCCATCTCACAGGATGGTTGTGGTGGGAAAAAATAGGAGGCAGGAGTATTAGGTTTGTTCACTGCCTTGAGTTATATGTAAAAAAGGTGGGAAAAAAATATAACAACAACAACACATAACTTGTATTAAACAAGAAGTATGTTTTTGGAAATGGAAATTAATACAATACCAGCTAAATATTTGTATATAAAACAGAGCACGGAAGGGGCAACCAATAGCTTATTTGCTGTATATGGCCCCCCAACATGCATGTCACAGATCCCAGAGCACTCCCAGGGCGCATAGCTGAAATTTGGTAACAAAATCTCAATTCAGTAACATAATGTTTCCATCTTATGGTTGCTATCACTCTAAAATAGAAGGCCAATGGTGCCCTTAGTAGTCCTAGGAGAGCAAAATAAGTAAAGAAATTAAAGTATAGTCTCTAGCCACAAAATGGTTTGTCACCCTTTAGTGTGCATTATATCTTGAACATCAGGCCTTATGTAAAGAAACAACTTATAGTGGAAATGAAATTTTGTCAACAATATGTTAACGCCACCACCTTTTTCCTTACGATATAAGCAAATATTGAATTTTGGACTGAATTTCCTAAATCCTGCACCATTCTTTTGTTCTCCTATTCCTGCCAATTTCTCAGGATGAGAAATAGAGTTCTGCTCTTCAAAACAATTTGAAAACTACAATTGTTGACAAATACAGCATCACACCAGTGCTTTGGTCATTGCACCAGCTGCTGCTAAGCTTCTGGGTCCAATTCAAGGCCAAAAAGTCTGAGCACCGGTATTTACAGGGCTGTCTCTCCCACCAGATTCAATCCATTCTGTGGGCTCATCCTGAGGGAAGCTGATGAGGGTCTCATCCTTCATGAGGGAAAAGAATAGGGTCCTCAGGCATGACTTCTCACTGGCAGTCACCACATTAAGGAATACCTTGCCCCTGATGAAAGAGGAGCTCCCACTTTACTCACCTTTCATAAGGTGGTTGAAACAGTTCTGCTCCAACAATCCTTTGGTGCAGATGGTAGACTTGGACTGCCATTATATCTTTCTTTGATATTGATGTTTGATTATTTACTGCTTAGTTTTTACTGTTACAGCACTGTATATGACCCTGACTTCTTGGAACTAAGGTTGTTCATTAACACTTGTATGTATGTATGTATGTATGTATGTATAAATAAATAATTCACAACTATTAGCAAGGAAAACCCTTCCTTGCCATTTGTTGTGCTTTTCCCAGCTTCGTATGTCAGAAAGTATTTATTTTGCTGGGAAAAACAATATATTACAGAATTGACAATGAAGAATACAGTGAGTTGGAAGTGTTCATTGGTTTTCCTTTATTAGCACACACAAAAGGAATCATCTCACTCTTTGTTCAGCCAGAATGCAACCTCTGGAGAATGTAAATGTCTTATTCCTTACCTGGTAACGATTTAATCGAAGTCTCACAATAAATGTAAGGCATAATTACTATATGAATGACACACTTTCCAATCTAAATTACAGCTATTTCTTGATGATCTCTCATCCAAGTATTAACCGGCCCCAGCCCTCAGCCCAGACAAGGCTAGTTAGATGTTGCTACCTGCCGGATCTAATACATGTTTTAGTTGCTTATTTAAAGCTCTTAGGAAGTAAAACTATCAATCCTACTACAAAAAATTCAAGCACACAATTCTTAGATAAATTCAATGGAAAAGTCACTTATAATCAATTGTAAAACCAGGTTACCTACAAGTGAGTTGAACTTACCACTCTCCATTTTTTGCCTTCAAGTTCTAACACAGGAGAGTAACTCTTTTGAGGAGGTATCGTGGAAGACTCAGAAGTATAGGTTTTGGTAGGAGATTGAATTGGTGCTCCTTGAGCACGCAGACTGGGATTCTTATGGGTCTTCTGGTCATCAGAGACATGTCGAAGCCCTACAAAAATGTGTAAATTTTTAAAGTTTTGTTTACTTATAAGCTTTGCTTTGTGAATCTGATTGATATGATACTCGAAGTCTTGTTCATATATTGTATTAGGTAGATGAGCAGATATTTGAACATATTTATCTGCAGAAGATTCATTTGATTTGATTGTCAAACATAAAAAGATGGTAGAACTTAAAGTTTCTCAAAATGTAAGGAGTAACTTTAAGCAACAGTCTCAAGGGATGATTCATGTTGCAAGAGGTACTCTCAGCCATTACATTTTAGTTTCTAATTTATGGCCATATCTTTTTCACTGATATGAAGGCAGAGCATATGCGTATCTAAACCAGAATAGCGAGATAGGCTCTCCAGATGTTGATGAACTACAACTCCCAGCACCCTTCATGTTACTGCCAAAAGCTGCTGGAAGATGCTAACACTAACATCTGGAAGATAATTGTTTCCTTGTCCCAACCTAAGCTATTTATTTTCAGTGTCCTTATTGATCTGACTGTTCTTCAGCACAAATGTAGGAATTTACATCCCAATAAATCCCAGGTATAGGTACAGGTGATCCTTGACTTATGACCACAATTGGGATTGGAACTTTCATTGCTAAGCAATGTGGTCATTAGGTGAAACATCACAACCACACCACTGAGCGACAGCAGTTCCAGTAGTCCCAGTTGTGGTCATTAGGCCAGAACAGCGCCGTAGTTAGGTGAATACCTCACACTTCTCCTGCCCTGCTACACTCACCTTTGCTTCAACTCCCTCCACCTGCCCCTCTCCCCTCCATCTCTGCCCTTTTGGCTGCCCTGCACAGTGCCATTCCTTGGCGGTAGCGGCAGTGCTGGCGCTGAATTAGAGGCCTGGGACCTTCAGCAGTCTCAGTTGGCCGCCACTGCTCCCAGGCCTCTACTTGACTTACTAATACAGAATGGAGCAAAATATTTTAAGATTGGACATATTGAATGGTATTTGGAACAATGGACACAGAAATTAATTTTAAGAGTATCTGCCTCTATAGATAGATGGTGTCTAAAAGATGTTATGGAAGAGGAACAAGCTTTACCAGACAAGACTGTGACTGATCTGAAAGCAGATTTAAAAATGACAGGCTACAAGAATGATATAGAAAAAGATGTTACACAGGACATGCAAAAGAAACCAGCTGATGTCTTGATAATTATACAAATAACAAACCAAAAGACTGACCTGGATAATTTTCCTATATTGGATTTACAAAAGAGGCTTGTTAAATCTTTGAAGAATTTTATGAGAAGGACAAAGGAAAAATGAAAAGAAATCAAGTTCTAGGACATTATTTGAAGGGACTAAAGAACAAGATTCTTAGAAGTAAAAGGAGGGAATATAAAGTTGGTTTGTTTGATCAAGGTTAAAATAGGTATCTTGTTCTCTCCGATAACCCTTACTGGACTTTTGCTGATCAGGATCAAAACAACGAGGTTTTAAGAGTTTATAGATACGAGATGGGAAATGGAAAGAAGAGACCATTTGTTGTAGTTTAGGAGAAGGTGATAAGTTACTATAGTTGTTTATACTTGTTGTGATGAAGGGGGAAGTCATTTCTTTATATATTCCTTTTCTTTTTCTTTACTATATTCTTATTTTTTCTTTCTTTTCTATTTCCTTTTTATTTTCTATACCTTCTATTTTTTCTGTTTATTCTTTTCTTTTTTTTTAGTTTATATTAGTTTTTTATTGTTGTGATTGTAATTTTTAATAAAATTACTATTAAAAAAAGAAATAAAACATGAATCTGAGCTTGCAGTTCCTGGCAGTGAACTGCTTTATGTCTACTGTGATCCACTGCACAAACAATGGAGCTAGCTTCTGGGTAGTGTGGTAGTAAAAGTACCTCTCCACAACATGTGAACTGCATTCACTACCAAATTTACATATGAACTGCTTAAAATGCCCTCGTAATAAAACATTCACAGCAAGCTGAATTGTCCTAAGTGGCAACAGGGGGAGAAATCAGAAAGGGACCAGTGACCCAGTAAACCAAATTGTTTATATTCACTGACCATATCTCAAATATAGTATAGCTAGCATGCTGACTTAGTAGAAAGGGATAAATAATGAGGTCACCCAGATGGGTTTATCAAGAACATTCCAGCATCATGCTGTAATTTATACTGTGTCTGCCTTTTTCTTTGTCTTGCTTCTGCAATGTAGTAGGCCAAAGGTATACAAACTGTGGTTCTGCTTTTGCTGAGGGCTGCTCAGCAAGCTGCCAATGCTTTGCTGGGAGCCCAGTATACACTGTAATTGTTTGCATGCTTAATAAATGCATGTTGTATCTTCACAGTGATTTGGTTGCTTTTAGGTGAGCCAGTTTTTGCCCGCAAACGGTAGATATATGTAAGTCTGCAGTTTCACATTTCCAAGTTAATTTTTAGCCTAAAGATATTTGCATTCATGAAAGCAAGTGTTTTTCATTTTTATGAGAAATCTCAAAATAGAGAAGAATGGTTTGAAGAGATGCAAATTTATTGTGAACTTCACACCTTGAGTAATTGTTTCTCCCTGGTTCAATTGAGCAAATAAAGCTGAGCGAGTAGCAGTTGTATCATCTTTTGCATTTCCTGTATCGATGACAGGAGGAGATCCTGGTGGTGGAGGCGGTGGAGGTGGTAGTGGCGGAGGAGGAAGAAGGCCTTGGTTGTTCACTAGAGCAGGCAAACCTGATGTTGCTGAGGCAACTGGACCCTATTTTTTTTTAAAAAGTAAACAGATGGGGTCACAAATATATTCATTTCAAATGAAGAGTTTTTATAAAGTACAGTATTACTTGCAATATTGTAAAACAACCAAATGAACAATTCAGATCAGTGTTTCTCAGCTTGGTGACTTTAAGACATGTGGACTTCAACTCTCAGAATTCCCCAGCCAGCATGGGGAATTCTGGGAGTTGAAGGCCACACATCTTAAAGTCGCCAAGGTTGAAAAACACTGATCCAGATAATAGACAAAACGGATGAGATATTTCTCTATAAAAGCCATACTCATCAGCTGCTTCACCTGGTAACTAGCCTTTCACTGCAGTAAGGATGCTTGAAGACAGGTGGTCTAAATGTTGCGGTTTATAAAGACAACACTAGTGTACATTTACAGAACAAACACCTTAACAAAAGATTTATGTCTCTGTGCCACAGTCCACCTGTTCCAGTCGGCTGTTACATGATCTTCTGTGCTTCACATTCTCTTTTTTATGTCTGTGCATATGTATGAACAGAACAATAAAGGACTCTGTAATTATATGAAGCATATAAAGGTTTGTAGGGTTAGTGCCTTTTACTGACAGAATGCGATTTTATTCTTTCAGAATTTCAGTAATTGGTTGTCTTGGAAAGTGGGTCTTCAGTTAAAACACAAACATTACCTTTTTTTCAGACAGTGTCTTATACTAATTGAAAAGATAAATATTCCTGAAAAAATACATTAAAGACAAACTTAGAATTCCTGCAATCAAACACCTACAAATTAATCTGGTTTAAGGCAGGCACAACTAATATCCTTAAGAGATAGATACAAATACTGCCCAAGAAAGGGTTAGGATTTGTAAAAACACTGAGGTAGGCAAGATACACATAGTTCACACATCACCCTAAGGTTCAGGCATTTGGTGGATTTCTTTATTTTTGGACTCTGATATGCCTATTTTAGAGCTTATACTGTCATTTTCATGTTTCCTACCTCAAAATGCTGTATCCTCATCAGAGGGGGCTCCAAGGAACACCAAAAGGGCTGTGCTAAGTGATAACACTGTTTGGTAGATTTTGACTAAAAACAATATATGAACCAAGCCATGGGATTTATTAAGCATGGTTTATGGTTTTGTGTTATGTGTGTATCAGGCCACTATGTCCTGTTCAACAACCACAATTAAAGGAAGTCATGGCTTACTGCAATATGCGTACCAAGTTACCTAGTGACCTTTATGGTCAAAGATCTGGATTCCAGGCCCTCCAGCCCACATACATGTTAAGCACTACAACCCCTTTGCCAGTTCAGTATTAATGATCCAATTAAATTGGCTATTATACTATGAGCTATGTTTGAAAATTGACTAATACCTCATTGCTCACAACTCCTCCTTGAAAAAATGGCTACATTTACATATTATGCTACAACTGTCTGTAAAACAAGCTAAGTCATAAGCCATAATTAGAATTGCAATGGCTTAGCCAAAACCAAACATCCCTCATTATAGCTTAGAAAAGGATGGCCATTCAGCCACTGTGTGAGAATTTCTAATCAGTATCTGTGCAAATTGTACTTCTGGCCCCAGTTTTTAAATGTGATCTTCAGTAGGAGAAGGACAAAATTAAGAAGTCCAATACTCTTATCTCTTCTCCATATACAAGTTCCAAGTTAATTCCAGAGACAAGCATTTTTAGCTCATGCTGTCATTTACTAAATACCAAGACTGGATTATTATATAATTTCCTTTTAAGATCTGATATTCATCTTTTTGACATAACTGGTTCTCTGAAAATTGATGTGAAAATGATACATAGCATATTTGTTTCCTTTCTAATTAAAATCTACCTTTAGGATAACCATGAATATTAATTCTGTCTCCCTTTATAGAACATGGAATTGGTTACATGCAAATGATTTCATGGATGACAACAAATGGTTGTAATTTACAAATCAGAGCAACCTCCAAGAAATATTTTGGCACAAATATCGTCATATATTATTTGGCACAACATATTGTCATACATTGCCTAACCATTTGAAATAATGGAGAATAACAAGAGAACAGCTGTTCCCCAAGGAGGCAGCTGACATAAACCTAGGAGACAGACATGGTAAACATTTGTGCTAAATAGGTTTTTTAAAAGCTGTTTATAAAGATATATTGTTAAAACATCTGCTCAGATTTAATCTAATGAATTGCTAGCAATAGCAAACACCTGCTGGATTAAGATAAGGTCAATTCTTGAGAACCTATAACATGTTTGGGGGATTATGATGATTTTACAGAAGCCATAAGCTGAACTCTGCATTAAAATACATAGTATAGGTAATTTAAGTTATTTTAAAAACCAAGATAGGTAAAACTGCAAAAGAACGTATGAACCAAATGAAAAAAAAAATCAACCAACGGTTGATGGCTTGGTTTGGACATGTGTTATGCTGTTGGTTTGGACATGTGATGATTAAACCTTCAAAATGTAGATTCAAGTATACAGGCAGTCCTCGGGTTACAACCATTTGTTGAGTGACTGTTCAAAGTTACAACAGCACTGAACAAGGGGGCTTACGACAGGTCCTCTGAGGTCTGGCTGTCATAGCATCCCCGCGGTCATGTGATTGTGATCACGGTGCTTGGCACCCAGCTTGCAATTATGACATCACAGCAAGCCATAGTCATGTGATTCCAATTTCCAATGTTCTCTGCCAGTTTCCAACAAGCAAAGTCAATGGGGAAGCCGGCAGGAAGCCGGAAGTCGCAATCATGTGAGGTCCTCGCTTAACAACCTGCACAGTCCTTGTTTAACAAGAACAACGGGAACTGCTGGAATTGCCATTGCTAAGTGATGTGGTCACATGATGTCGCGCTTTATAACTGCATCACTTAGCAATGGAGTTCCTGGTCCCAATTGCCATTGTAACCTGAGGACTACCTGTATAAAATTTTCCTAGTTTTCTTGGAAACTGTCAACTTTGGAATCAAAGACCCTAAGAGGTGAAACATTTAAAACCTTCTCCTAACTCATTTATGTCAGACAGTTCTTTGTCTTGGAAATATACCACTGCTAAGAATCAAAGTGATCAATGAAACACTAACTCTGATCCTAACTCTAGCAAGTATATTGCTGTAGTAGTACACTTTTGTTCAATGACAACTGGTTAAAAAATCAATTTCCTGGCAAAAGAGGTCAAGTGACACTGGTGGACTTTTTTCCCCTACAAGTTTCTATATATTTTCATTTAAAATTCATCAGAAAACATTTTTTGTTTTTATCTCTTAGTGGATGAATGATCTTGACTGTGCTAGTGCCCTCCAGAAGCATTTAATATGAACTCCCATAACCCCCCAGCACTTCTGGAGACCACTAAGTTAAGAAAGCTACTATACAATAATGTATTATTTCTCTTTTTTTCACAGTGAAAGGCAAGAAATAAAGTACTCACAGTTTTGCTCCAGGTGAGCCCAGTAGTATGATATTCTTTTATGTATGCTTGAAGCTCTGTCCAGATATTCAAGAATGATTTCACCCAATCAACATGACGCAAATCACTGCAATGTAATAAAAGTCATTTGTATGTGTTCTTTAGAATAGTACTAGAATAGATAGTAATTCAGAATCATCTGAACCATATTTAAAAATCTACCTACTGCAATTCAATACAGGTAGTCCTCAACTTATGATAGCAATTGGGACCGGAATTTCCATTGCTAAGTGATGCAGTTGTAAAGTGCAACTGCATTGCTTAGTGATGGCAATCCCTGCAGTCCTGGTTGTCATTGTTAACTGAGTCCATGGTTGTTAGGCGAGGGAACTTCTTGCTGACTTCCCACAACCAGTCAGTGGGGAAGCTGGCAGGAAGTTGCAAGTCCCAGGCCCATAGGCAGGTAAGTGGCTACTGCCGGGTGGGGAAGGGAATGAGGGGGTACACCAGGGAGGGTCAGGGAGGGTGCACAAGGATGTGAGGGGGTGCATGAGAGGTACTGCATGGGTTGGGGAGGGTGCGTGAGGGTGTTAGGGGGTCACAAGAGGCACCATGCAGGTTGGGGAGGGTGCACTAGGGTGCAAGGGGGTGCGTGAGAGGTGCTGTGTGGGTCAGGAAGAGTGCGCAAGGGTGCGAGGAGGTGTGTGAGAGGCACTAAGTGGGTTGGGGAGGGTGTGCAAGAGGCACTGCATGGTCGGGGAGGGTGTGTGGAGGTACACGAGTGGCTGGCATGGCACGAACACAGAAGGGCTGGGGGAAGTGTGTGTGGGTGGGAGGACTTACCCCAGTGACTTGCAACCTTCCCTGCTGGTTTCCTCATTGACTTTCTGGGAAAGCCGGCAGGGAAGGTTGCAAATGGTGATCACATGATTGCGGGGTGCTTGGCAACCGGTCATAAGCGTGAATGGGTTGTCAAGCATCCAGATCACAATCATGTACCTGCAGGGGTGCTGTGACAGCTGGAACTCCAAGGACCAGTTGTAACCACCATTTGTTCAGTGCCGTTGTTACTTGGAACAGTCGTTGACCGAATTGTTGTAGCTCGAGGACTACCTGTAAATCATTTGCCACAGTCAGATTAGTAACAATCTCACTAACACAAACAATGTAGCCTAAAGTAGAAAGTATGTTTAACATCAATTCCTCAGGTGACAGATACATATAACTGTTAAGTTTTTTTAACCATAACCTGTGCTTTCTTCTACATTGCATTTTTGTTGCAGGATCATATTTTCCCAATAAGTCATCAAATGATAATATTTGGATTCTGTAAAAAATCCAATCATCTCATCACTAGGTACATCGTGGAGGGAGGGGGAGAAGGGATCAGAGTGATGTAAGCAGGTTGTAGTCATGGTGCAAGCTCTTAAAAATGCTTAACTACAGCAGGATCATGTCCTTTTCATTTACTTAAATACCTACCCAGCCCTTTCTCCTCTGTAAATTGTCTGCATGATTCCTCATGTACATACTGAAAAATAAAAACAAGCAACTGCAACAGGCTATCTTTTTTAAAATTTAAAATCACCAGAAGTTGACCTGATTCTCTTATGAAAGAAGGAGAACTTGCGTATATTTGTATGGTGGAGTGTGTAAATGGGTACCTATATGTGACTTTGATCCCACTGGCTTTGGCCTCTTCCAGGAAGGAATGTGACTGTCGGGATGAAAAGGTTTCCAACTCTTGCCTTAGAATATAAAAAAAATGATCCAGACGTACCAGCTGAGTAAATCTGGGTGATGGTGAGAAGAAGTATTAACTTACCTATGTTTGTAGTCTTTTAACACCCTGTTAGTATAAAATGTAGCAGCATCATTCATCTCCTTTACATAAGGCCCTGGCTTAGCAGACTGAAAGAGAACACAGAACCATTGTGTAAAAATCGCAGAAATCCATTTTTAAGAGAGAAAGAAAAGATAAATATAATCGTGAGGCAAAACCTCCTTCCTATTTTAACTTGTAGATATTTCAAAGCAACATGGATATAATAGGGCTTGTGCAAGCCTATTTTGCTGTCCCCGTTCTCTAAGAAAGATAAGGTCACTTCATGATACCTGGTGACTATTCGGGACTACGCATGCAGTTTTTTTGGCAGCAATATGGAAGTGGTTTGCCACTGCCTTTTCAGGAACGTTTTCATGACTTCACAGTCTCCCAGCCACATACTAAACAGAACTGATCCTGCTTAGCTTTTCAATTGGCCAGTCGCCTAAATGTTTCTACCCACCAACCCCACATATTGAGAGATGACATCCCACTAAACAAAGTGGAAGGCTGCAAGGGTAGACTGAGGGCAAAGAGAAAATCTTTAAAAGTGAGATAGCGATACCATCTGCAAGCAGTGAGACCCAAATCAGGAAGCCAATCCAGGAAGGTTCCTGTTTTTTAGTGTTTCCTGGCAGATTGGGGCGAGGAAGCTGGGCTGGAGAGGAGAGGCAGGGAGGTTATCCCCTCACCAGTCCTGTTATGTGTACTTCTCAAAGCCAACCCCAAAAATTTTAAACATGAGAGAAGAGATAAGAAGCAACAATTTAGATTTTAGTTTCAGTTTTGCACTCAATATCAGAAACTTGCTTGGAAAACATTCACTTCTAAAATTCAGAACTTACAATTGCTATCCATCCAAGAGCTGGAATACTTTCACTGACAGCAGACAGATGATTAAACATGTTGCTTCCACGGTTTCTCTCTCTGAACATCTGAATTTCCTGAATCTTGTCCGATATTGGTTTTAGAAGAATGGCAACTTCACTCTGCAGTATTAATAAAATGAACAAACCAGTAACAGAACAGAAATATTTTTTTTTGGTATATGTATGTGTGCGTGTGTATACATGCTTACACAAACACACACGCAAAGTTCTAACCCATTTTCTTGTCATTACTGAAACGGAGATCTCCTCAGAACTTTGTTCAGTATGTTATGTTATGATGCTCTAAGAACAGATCCATTCTCAGAGAAGTCATCCATCTACTATGATGATGGCATGGTGTGTTTTGAAATATTTGTGGGAATACCTAGTGATGAAATGTAGACATTTTTAGACTGTGAACTAAAAAAATCAGACTCCTTGGGCTTAAGGTTTTTCCATGAAGAATCCTCTTGAAAGGTAAAATGTGTCGCTAGTCCTTATATATCTGGGAGCCCTCCTGCTCATTCTACCTCATAAACATTTCTTTTCTAAAGATCTGCCCTGATAGAACTAGTATTAAGAATAGCCCAGAAGATATCAGAGAGCCAGAAAAGCAAATGTTGGGGATTAGTATTATGTGCTTGTGGAAATGTGTCCTTTTAAGGAAAATAATCATGCTAACTTAACAATAAGGAAAAGCAGTAATTTTAAATGATATAAAATGTCTATGATTCAAAAGTTATCTCAGTGCTAAAGTCATAGAAAAAATATAACTAGAGCCACATAGGAAATTGAAAAAAGCTCAGAGCAGAAAATAATCTTGCTGTAATATGTTTAATTGGGCATCATTATCCTAAATTACACAAGCCAGATCTTAAATTTCTGTATAGCTAATTCTGTATCTATCATTCTGTCTTGATTCAAGTAGAAAATTGAAGGCTGTTCCGATTCCAATTTTTTGTATCTATTATTATGCATTTATGAACATTTCTTGTGGTCAATTAATTTTTTTTGTGAAATCCTTTTTATGAATAATGTATGGAATCTGTATTTAAATGACAGATATGTTTGGGGAATGTTAATGTCAGAGCAGCTAGATATTGACAGCAATAAATTACATATTTTTAGACGAGGAAAAGAATATATTTTAAAGTCACATTTACATTTCCATGACATCAGTTAGCAATCTTATTATCAATAAGTGTGTGTTTTGACAACAAAGGAATTAACATGCTCCCAAGCTGGTACCCCTGGGTGCTAGTTTTCACAATTACCTGATGCAGTTTTGACCTTAATGTTTTCATAAGTAAATGAAGTCTAAATGGTGTTCTATGTATTTAAATGGTACTAAAGTCAGATAAGACATATGTCAGTCACTGGAGAAGCTTGAAGTAATTTGTTTATTCATTTATTTTTAAGTAATATTTATGCTTTACCATGTAGCAATATATCTCAGGACAAATATGGTAAGTAAAAATAAGCCAGAAAAATAATATCACTTCTGTGTCCACCCATCCATCCAGATTCCATTAAAAAAAAAAATCTAAGTAGAAGATGGGGTCACTGATAATTAAGCCCCTAGTATAGGTAAGTAACTACTTATTTCACTTGGCACCATTAAAGGAAGGAAATCTCAATACTGTAGCGCCAAGCCAAGATGTCTAAAAAAAGTGGGATACAAGGAAACGCAGGATGAAAATACAGAAGGGTCAAATGCTCGATTTGGCCACCTGATGCTTGAGTATGTAGTCTGTGCCTATAGCCAGAATGTGCAATCTTTTTAGGACAATGAGCAAACTTGAAATGTTGAGAGAATGTTTTATTCACTCTCTTAAAATAGCTTCCAGGGGATGGGGAGGTACATTCGCTAACTGGCTGAAAAGATGGGCATGGGCAGTCCTAAGACACCTACATATCAACATGCAAAATGATACGGTTGTTCCCAAATATCTCCTACAGCTCCTCCCCCATACACTATTTGTTCACCACCCCTTATTACTGTGTTCCTTTTCTTGTCAGGTGGGCAAGTGAAGCATCGCTTGTAGCCACCTACCAATCTTGGAAATAAAGATGATGTTGTGGGGGGAGGGAGCCTAGCAAGCATCAAAATAGGTATGTAAAGTCACCCTCAGGTCTATAAGCATCACACTGAAAGACTAGTGATAGGTGCCTATTTCCAGTCCAGGTCAACAGGACATTTGCTCATTCAAAAATCCATTACACTTCAGCATTACTGTACATTAAAAAAAAAACTCAACTTAGAAATGTATACTGTTAACTACAGATTTCTGAACATATTCTTTTGCAGAATATACAACTTACACAGGCATTTTATAACAAAATACACATTTCCAAACATGTTCTATCCAAAAAGGTATTGTGGAATGTTGGAGGGCAGAAAACACACATCGGATGCATACAAGGGTCAGTAACAAAATATAGGCTTACCTTGTTTTGTGCTAGGGATACGTTCCCTGAAAACCTTGCATAAAGTGAATTTGTATAAAACAAGACCAAAACCAGGGGGAAAAGGGGGGCTGAGGATGATGTTTTTTGGTTGTTTTGAAAGATAAGATATCAAACTTTGTAACCTAAATGCATTTACAAAAATGCTCAAAACCTTTTAGAGTCTTATTCTCAAGCACTACATTACACACTCCCCCCCCATCTCATATTTTATGTACAGTGAAAGAATTTTCCCAATCTTTTGTAAAGCTGGTTTTCTAATGTGCGTGGTTCTCATGGCAGACAGAGAGATGGAATGCATCACGGCACTATGAATTTTATTAGCATTCTTCATTTTTTGTGCAGAGTAGATTCACCCAGGCTAAAAGCTTATCCTAGGGTTGAGGATCCTTCACCAGCTTCAGTGCGACTTAATATTTCCACCTTTATTTCTAGTGTTAGAGAGGTCCTTTTGGGTAAGGGGGTTGGACAAGATGTTGAAAGCCATTTGGACCCCACAATACAGTAGTAGCTATGGCAGGAATGGAACTAAGGACACACAACTAGAACAACAGCACAACCCAATGGTAAATGTGTAAGAGAGGATAGACAGGGATCTGCACAGAAAAATCCAGTTTTGACAGGGAGAAATCTTGATATATTTCTTGACCATTGGTACAAATGGCCTTTTTTTGGGAGGGGGGCTTCAAGTAATTGTTGACACCTGGTGACTACCTGGACTAGTCCCAGCAGTTTTCTTGGCAAGATTTCGGAAGTGGTTTGCCATTGCCTCCTTCTAAGGGCTGAGAGAGAGTGACTGGCCCAAAGTCACCCAGCTGGCTTGGTATGTAAGGCAGGACTAGAACTCACAGTCTCCTGCTTTCTAGCCTGGTGCCTTAACCAGTAGACCAAACTGGCTCTCAATAGCAAATGGACTATGCTGGCACAAATCACATAATAGCACTTTTTTCTCCACATAAAGTGATTTCTTGAATGAAACTGATCAATCGCATAATAGGAAATTTACATAAACAGAAATCACATAAAGGGAGGGAAACTGTATATTTGAATAAAAATGCTAAAAATATTTCATTTTATGAAGCTGGATTTTAATAGGAATTCTTTATTCATAATAACTTTATTATTAGTTTATTCTCAAGTTTCAAAATATTTTTAAAATAAATTCCCACTCTTACATTTCTTTTACTTAAAGGATAATTCACAGTTGTTTTGAAGTATTGCTTAAGTTGAAGCATTAGAAATACATTCCAAGTAAGTAGAAAAGTTTAAATCACAGCTTTTTAAAGAGTAATTTTGCAGGCAGTAGCCACTAGCTAGCTAGTATACATAAACTGGAGTATCAGATGATCGTTTTCTCATGTGACCATTTCCACTTCACATACAAATATAGAACATGACCATAAAAAGGAACAAAACATTCACTCTGCTAAGTAATTTATTGTAGTTGTTATAGGATTGACATGCCAGCTGGAATTATCTTCTTGGCTCTTGCTATTTTTGCATATACAGAGAAATGAAGGACTTCAAGATGGAATAAAATGTAAGCATTGCTGGCAAAAACATATCTCAGAAAAATCGCACTGAACACACGCTTCTTTGTGACTTGCTAAGCATGGATGCTACATTTAAGCTAACAAATCATAGATGCTTCAGAATACTAATGGTTTTGTTTTCTGTTATTAGTTTAGGATAAATTGCATAAATCCCCCTTCTCTACAACATTGCTTCTGAATATTTGCAAAGCTGTAAAGACACAATCACCAACAGATTATTCAGCTAATGCTTTACATTCTTAGAAAAAAACTGTCTGGAAAGCTCAATGACACAACTGCTTGCTTTTTTCAGGAGTCGTCATCTTATTATGCTTTTCTCTGCTCTGGGAATTCTAATTAAAATGAATGCTTATTCTACCTGTCTGGATTTTGCTCTGAGTTTGTGACATTAGCTTAAAAGTACAAGGAGAAACAGATGATGTCACATTGACAGAGTATTTTCTGTTCTGCTCCTATCAAGTTTTCTTTACGATGTAATGCACTATTTGGAAACTTATAACACATATTTCTTGCTTTCAACAAGGAGAAATGAAACTATCATACCACTTGCAGTAGAAAATGCTACTCAAATAACTGAACGTTTGTTGCAGAAGATTTATTTTGCATGACAGCTGTTTTATACACACACACACAGCTGTGTTAATTTCACACTATGATATATTCCAGTTTATTGTAATAACAGAAAAAAAATGTTGTTTTTCTTTTGGTTTGGAGGACTCATCATATCCTATAAATTAATCGATGTTACTAGAGGTTCTAAAATAGTAATATGTAAATTGGTGGCTGAAGCGTGGGAGGTCCAAAATTCTGGAGGATACCAAATTGCTTAATTGCTTGATTAAGTGCCATCAAGTTGGTGTCAACTCTTAGTGGCCACATAAATAGATAATCTGAATCTGGTCATTTGTGCCTTGAGTGAAAACTCTGGGTTGATTTGTTTGATGATCCATTTCTTTGTTTTCTTGGCTGTCTATGGTATTCTCAGGTTTTCCAACACCAAAGTTCAAAAGCATCAATACTCTTCCTATCCTGCTTCTTCAAAGTCCAACTTTCGCTTCCATAGGGTGTCACAGAGAATACCATTGCTTACATGATTCTGATCTTTGTAGGTACAGATACATCACAGCATCTGAATATCTTCCTAGGCCTTCATGGCTGCTCTACTAAATGCTAGTCTATAGCGTATTTCTTGACTGTTTATCCTTTTTCTGTTGATGGTTGATCCAGAAGGCAGAAGGTATCTACTACTTCAATTCTAAGGCTGTTCATTGTACCTGTTGTCATTAGTTTGGTCTTCTTTATATTTAATTTTAGTCCTATTTTTTAATTGTGCTCCTTGACTTTTATTACTAAAGCTTGCAGATCTTTTGCATTTTCAGCTATCATAGTAGTGTCATCAGCATAGCAGAGGTTATTGATGTTTCTTCCTCCAATTTTAAAACCACACTCAACTTCTTCTAATCCAGCTTTCCTTAATATACAATATTTATTTATTTATTTATTTATTAAATTTCTCTCCACCCACCTCCCCCTAATGGAGGACTCTAGGAGGCTCACACAAAGCTTTAAAGCAATAAATATATATAAATACATAAAACATTAAAAAATTATACAAAACATTACCAAAAAAGGAGGAGAAAGTCCGAGAAGATGATGGATCTGGGGCTGAAGACAGCAGACCTCTATGGGGCTAGCCATCCCCACGCTTGATGTATTCCCTCCCCACCCCAGGCCAAGTCGCAGAACCAGGTCTTCAAAGCCCTCTGGAAAGCCAGGAGTGAGGGGGCCAATCTCACCTCCGGGGGCAGAATATTCCAAAGAGCAGGGCTGCAGCTGAGAAGGCCCGCCTTCTGGATCCCGGTAATTGGAGTTCTTTTACCGAGGGGGTCTGAAGCATGCCCTCTCTGTGTGATTGGGTGGGATGGGTTGAAGTCATGGGGAAGAGGCGGTCCCTTAGGTAACCTGGTCCCATGCTATGTAGGGCTTTAAAGGGGATAACCCAACACCTTGAATTGGACCTGGAAGCAAACTGGTACCCAATGCAGCTCGCGGAGCAACGGCATTACGTGGGCCCTTCTTGGGCCTCCCAAAATAGCCCACACGGCTGCATTCTGGACCAGCTGTAGCTTCTGGATACTCTTCAAGGGTAGCCCCATGTAGAGCGCATTGCAGTACTCTATATGGAAGATAACAAGGGCATGAGTGACTGTTCGAAGAGCATCCCGATCCAGAAAAGGGAGTAACTGATGCACAACCTGTGATGGAATGGAATTATGAAGGGCAGACTCAGGGAGGGAAACATGCTCTTTCGTCTCCTGAGGGACGAGGAAGAGATAAGAGGATGAGGCTGGCACCTCCCTGAGGAATTCACTCTGTTTTG